CCCAGCATCAATACGGTGCTCCACACGAACACCGTAAGCACAAGCGGCACCAAAAACACAAGACATCATTGCATGAATATATATAGTAAACAGGGCGGAAGCTAAGACACAGCCTTGCTTCACACCAGAGATAATTGCAACGTCATCCGACGTCCCTCCACTCAGCTGCACCCTTGCTGGCATATCACTGTGCAGACATTCAATTAAACTTACAAACTTATTCGGACAACCATACTTACTCAACACAGGCCACAGTGCTTCGCGGTTCACCGTAACAAATGCTTTGGTGAAATCAACAAACAGCGAGTACAACGGCTGGTGTCGTTCTCTACACTTCTGCAACTGACGAGCCGGTTCTGCGACCCTAACGGGATCCACATGACTCTTCTGCCACGTAGGGTTCCATAACTTGGTTGACGATGTGGTTGAGTAGGATTCGGGCAGTCGCTTTGCCCACACAACTCAGCAAGTTGATACTACGATAATTCGTGGCACATTACTTGCCCACTTTGACCTTGTACAGTGGCAGCACAAGGGCATCCTTCAGCTCAGGAGGGATCTCTTCCTCAACCTACACGCGTTGCACCAAGTGGTGCAGCGCATTCACCAACACGGCTCCGCCGTATTTCAATACTTCAGGCGGGATCTCGTTTTCACCCGTACACTTGCCGTTTCGCAACTAAGCAAGTGCTTTATACGTCTCATCCATTGTCGGCATGTCCGCCAGGCTCACTTTCTCCGGATATACATATACAAATATATATATATATATATATATATATATATATATATATATATATATATATATATATATATATATATATATATATATATATATATATATATGGTATGGCGGCACCCGAATTTGCCTGTCACTCTTTCCTCCATGGGGACAGTCAAAGGACGCTTGCGCCTACGAAGGGGACCATGGGTGGCTTGCGCTGCACCACCCATAGTTCCACCTATACACCCCTTATCCGGTGTAAACCCGAAGTAATAAGACCGGGAGACATACAGATGGGAGCCACGTTTCACCAACGCAGCCGGCCCACACTCCTTCAACAAGCAGGACAGAAGCATTCCGGCCTAATTGGGAAATTTTGCACCACAGGCGTACAAAAGGCGATGGCTGGATCGTAGCCCGTTCCACACAGCATGGAACCACTTTTTGAACCTAACAACGTCACGAGGACGGTTCACCCCGTCCCATCCAGCAACAAGTGTCTCCTGGAGCCAGCAATCGAGTTGAAGGGTATCAGACAAGTAGGTACCTTCTCAACATTCGCATCAGGCCAGCCACACCGGGGAGCTCAAACAACATCTACTTCTGAAATGTAAGATTATTCATCACGCACGTAGACGTACCACATACACCATCTTATTGGCTTGGATTAGTAAATCGAATGGGTGCGTACGTATCGTGCTTCTATTCCGCGTGCAATAATGCCTTCTCCTGCATCTGGGCAACCGCCCTTTTGATCAGTCCACGAGATTCGCATCGATCAATTTCGCCTTGGATTCGCAACACCTGAAGTCAGCATTAGTTCGTCATAAACTCACCTTTTTCATGTTCTGGTAATGTTATTTTCGCTTTGCCCCAGTGCCGCATCCTTTGCACTAAGTGTTCCATACAAAGGGGGTATGAGTATCCTCGTCTAATACATTCGGTATACATGTATACATGGATTGGCGTCATCCGTGTCCGATGACAGTTCGAGTACAACATGCGCTTGTCCAAACTTAAGCATGAACTGCCACAAACTGGATAGAGACACATTAGACCTCATGAACAATAGTACTAACAACGTGTATGGGTATCGATTTAGGTCAGGCTAACAGCCAATTGCCCAGGCATGAGAATAAGTATTCAAGACTAATTGTCTGTTTTCTTTAACATTTAGACCTGACAGCCTTAACTCTTGGGCATCAATATTTGAACGACACCGATATAGGCATACGGACACAATTGCCATTAGTACGGTTACCAGGTTGAATGATTAATAAACAAGTGCTACAGTAAAATAGTGTGTGCTTATGTGTTGCCTCCTATGTGCACAATCTGGTTTGCGTAGCTCATATGAGAGATCACACAGCGTGCGAATGCGCTTGGGTGTTCACCTCAATCCCTCCGTGTCGCCGATCGGTCCGATCATCTGCTACCCGAGGTGTGATTGTTACGCAACCTAAAGTGTTGACAGGTGTCAATACCACATATTCGAAACTTACGGCCTCATTGGAGAGACACAACTGCCGCCATGCTACATCAACTAAGTCCCGCTCCTCACTGTCAAACATACGGCTTTTATTTGTTATCGTCATTTCGAATGATTGGCTGTTGTCTGACATACCAGCTGCGGCTCCGCTTGATGTGCATATAGACAAGGTGCCTACCTGTCTATTACCCACTACCTCGTCCATACTGGCTCTAGGAGACAGTTGGTGGTCGCTCGATGGAACGGGATGCACGGTCCTTTTGGCCGTGCTACGCTCGATTAGCGGTTCCATGCACTCATTGTGGAGCGGATTACGCTCCAGCGAACGTCTTGTATACGCTTGATTCCCAAATACAGCGTGCTTGTGTTTGCCTGTGAAGGAGTGTGGGCCGGCTCCGTTGAAACGTGGCTCCCATCCACATGTCTCCCGATCTTTTTCCTTCGCGTTTACGCTGGATATGGGTGTGTGGATTCAGCTATGTGTGGCGCAGCGCAAGCCATCCATGGTCCCTCTGTAGGCGCAGGCATTCTGTGGCTGGCCACTGTGATAGATAATACCGAAACCGGATGACATTAACCATGACAGAATATGTGCATGTTTGTTATGATTGCTTACGCATTGTTCTAGCGTGAACCAAGAAAGTAGAGGGACGGTACTGCATGCCATGAAGTACTTGATCAAAATCTTTTCATATCAAGTATTATAATAATATGCATTGGATTCCTCGTACCCAACGTTTGGTATTGTCTGGCATGTTCATGGGGCCAATGCTGACAAGCTCTCACTTGACATGTTTATTGTTAGAGAAAACATATGATATTTTGAGCTTTGCCATCAGTTACATAACTTTAAGATGTACATAAATTTGTTTCCCCGCTGCGTAACTTTTTGTTTTTGCATTCATCTGTCTCAGCGCACGTTTCATTGAATTGGTTCTCATTGATTACACATACGTATGTTCTACTGCATAATGAGGATGCCGAGACCTCTGTGTGTTTCAAGTAGATCTTCAGAATAACATGAAGATCGCTTTAGTGCGATGTTTTTTCATTAGCTTTTTATCCTCGTTGTAGGCAACTCGTAGCACATGAGTTACTTGTTAGCGTGTGTTATTAACGAATGATGAACCAAAGTCTAGAATAATAGATTTCCTATTAAAGACAGGATGCTTAGTTCCTGCGAATTAAGATATTTTAGTTTAACGTGACACATCCTCCGGTTCTCGACTGCACATTCATGACAACCTTTCGTTTTATATGAATCTATTCTCCACTCCCAAACATCAAACGTGGCCGCATCATCATCCCACAAGTAAACACAGTGTACGCGCCACCAGATTTCCAACACCTTTCGACCGGTGTGCGTTCAACTTGTTTTGTCACTTATATTTGCACTTAGTTCTCAGAGCGACTGTACATTTGTTGTGATGCCACGCTGATTGAACGACTAACCTGCTGCTAACGTGCAGCTAACCGTCGCCAGAAATGTACTGTGGGGTCCCCGCTGAGGGTACGGATAATCTGCTGTGCCGCCCCAACCACTAAATGAGAACGCCAAGAACATAGTCGGACCGAAGGATTCGGATTTTATTGCATGAGAGCTTGGCGCAATAAATAGGTTGTAGGAATTCACTAACAACAAGATTGGAGATGCTAATTAAAATTAGTTAACACAAATCAAATGGTTCAAGTTCATCATCCGAGTTGCTGGTGATTCCACATAGATTCGCAATTTGTTGTCCACTCGCGTTCCATCTCTTATTGTAGATCGACCCAGTCTTGCGCCACGTTTCTCGGCTTGTGCTCTGGCTCTGCGTAACAACATTTGCGTACTGGACACCAATGAACTCAACTGGTTGAGCTTTGCATATTCAAGGGAATTGTGTGCCTAACCGTAGAACTTCAGAGTTTCCAATCATAGCTTTATTGTTATGCGGACTGGTGGCAAATATCCCGTGGAGTCATGTTCCCTGCGAGGGAAACACTGGCTACTCATTGATTAAATACACGAATAAATGAATGGTATATTTCTCGACGTTGCGAGACACAAACCGGTTATTTAGTCTGGCTGTTTTGTGCTGCATAACCGAGCTCGAGTTTCTCAGTTGTCCCAGTGGTATCTTAGGAATGTTCTGTCACTTAAATGTAGTAAAGATGGGGAGTTTGAGTGTAATAATACTTGCGGGTATAGCCAACAGTTTAAGTAAAGTAATACGACCATCCATGGAACCGTCTCCTATGGACCTGATTCTATTCGGGGTAATCTCTCAAAAGGTTTCATCCGCTCTTCCGCATCTCATTTGACCATGTGCACATGTGGGTTACAAGTAAGTTGTTAACATTTTGATTTGTTTTTTGACTGTTGTTATATACAAGTACGCCGTCATCACATTTATCATACTTTTGCTTGAGTCGCTGTTGTAAGCAATTGCGCCGTCATCAAGATGACGTTTTTTGTTGAGTTGCTGGGGGGGGTGCTGTTCCATGCTAGGCACTACTCATCATACAGCCCATTCCACAGTTCCTTTACTTCGAATCATGAACTTTTATATTTGCCAGTGTTTATGTGGCATCTCGCCTTGAGTGGGTGTATTCGATTGTTCGGAGACTTCAGTCAGTCAAATCAGGAGATAAGTCCAATCGTTCGTTGCGGTAGCCCGTTGATCTTTCTTTTTAACTGTGACCTTGTTTGTGCTTTCCCGTGTTGAGCAACTGGCAACGCCCTGTGTTTTTGTTCCAGAAGAGCGACCTGTATCATGCGAGTACTGTGAGAAGTCCTTCTCAAGGATGAGCGACCTCCGAATTCACGTGAATTGTGTTCACTTAAGTGAGTGCGACTTTGAATGCATTGTGTAGCTTTGAATTTCGGATTACATGTGAGTGGGGGATTTTTATGTTCCTAGCTTGGATTCTTCGTGAGGAGTTTTAGCCCATACTCATCCCTACTGTACGGTTGTGAAATCTGGCCGCTTAAAGCAGCGGATCTGAAGTGGCTAGTTACGTTCGACCACCGGTGCCTTCGTAATTTAGCTCACATCTGGTGGGAACACCGCGTGAGCAAAGAGCGTGTTCAACGCCTTGTTTATGGCACAGGAAAAGGTACTGAACCGCTCATCACCGTTATTTCACGCATCAGGCTCCGATGGCTCGGCCACGTGTTACGCATGCCAGCCCACCGACTCCCGCGACGTGTGTTGTTTGCGCGCCGGCGGTGTGGATGGAAGAAGAGGAGGGGTGGCCAAGCAATGACTTGGTCCAGAGGAATGAAGGCCATGACTTCTGAGCTGGCCTCGGTTAGAACGTCTCGGCTCCCTGGTTGGGGTCCGAAAGACGATGAACACGTTTGGTTGTACACACTTGCTGATATGGCTAAGAACCGACCTCAGTGGCGTTCGTGCTGTGAGTTTCTTTGTCCCACCCCATCCCTCTTAGCCTCACCCTCCAACTACGATCTCATTATTTAGCCTTATATAATTTTGCATAGTAATTTTTTGATGCACAGCAGCCGGCTGGTAGCTTACCGGAACGATGTCCATACGTTACCGGTAGCTCAGCCAGCTTGCACCAGTTGCATTTTTTCTCTCCTCTTTTTCTGTGTATTGCGGCACAGTAGCTGAGGTGTTCCCCACCTCTAGCTAACCTGTATGATGATGACGACGATGAGACCATGATCATCATCATAATTCTACCTATTGCGGTACCACAAAACAATACTGTATGATATTCGAAACGGCGAAATCAGGTATTGCATTATACAGTTAATGTTATACGTTGTGACGCATGGATTCTATAATCATGTTTTGAAGATGAGACTAAACAAGAGAGCGAGAGACTGAGAGTAACCGACTAGCCTCCGGTACACGTTCACGTTCACGGTTCCCGTTCCAGTATTGCAAATAGCGCATTTCGCCGGCGGTCAATGTGTTACCATGCTTTAGACGTGATTCAGTCATCGGAGCCTGGTGCGCGAAATAACGATACTGAGCGCTTCACGCCCTCTTCCTGCGTTATAAACAAGGTTTCCAACTCACGCTGTTTTACTTATCTAAACTTCCCACATGATATTAGTTGAGCTTCTGTGACACTGGTGTTTGCAGGTAGTTAACGTCCTTGTGATCTACCGAACCGGTTTTCCTCAGCCTATAAGTCTTTGATTAACATTGCCTGCGAAACTTTGTTGGTGTCGGATAGCACCAGCGTTTCCGCAACGATGGTGTTGGTGAGCGAGTGGTATGCAGAGATAATCTGACTGGTTTCTTAGAACAACAATATCGCTGGATAAGTTGCGTTCGCTTAGACGCGTACTACATACACCAAGTCACGGCTTACAGAGAAGGGTCTTGTTTTATTTTCTCAATGTATGATGGTCAAAAGTTAACTTGACAGCGAGAAATGACGACATTGACGACCAAACTGTGTGCCTTTGGTCCGTTTCGCCTTCCAAACTGGAGTCCACGTAGCCCGCCTTGTGTTTGGCTGGTCCGTAGCCTAAAAGTAACGAGCTTGTCTTGCAATCTTACGGCACGGGTTCGAGTCTGCGTACAGACAGGGCGACCCTCGCAGTATCCCCAGCCCGCGTACGACCGGCGGTAGTTGCGCGGCAGCAAAGCGTCGGTACTGCCTACCGGCTTACTGCGAATGCCTTTTCTGCATGGAGACTTTATAGGACATGGCTCGCACTCGGCACCAGTGGCGTGTCTGCTGTCCACTTCTATTCAACAGTCTGTTTAGTGTTTTTGATGCTGAGTTCTCTGCGGTGCAATGGTTTATTAGGAGGCGGGGCATTGATAACCGCCAGAATACTGTCTTGCTGATAGCCAGCTTTTTGGACTGTGTGCTTTCTTTTCAAGGTGAAGGCACCGTAGCCCTGACGACGACCAATCATCCCTGGATGCTGGCGCCCGAATCACTTTCTCATAAACTGTTGTTTTCACTGATCCAGAATGGTTACTGTTTTCTGTTCTGTTCTTTAGTAAATTGGATCCCATTGCAAATATCGCTTATTTGATGGCGTTCCATAAAACTTGGAGCATTTAGGTATGATCAATGTAATGTCCACATATGGTATCCCAACGTTGCGCTTTGCTTTCGATAGCGCCTTTCGTCCTACCACTCGCATCACTACCTTGGCTACCGGTCTAGTGATTGGTGCGCCCGTTATTTGTTTGTACAATTGGTCATTGAATTGGTGGTGTGTAATGAGGCAAAATTACAGTGAATCGATGGAACGAATTGTCTGATTGATGTGGTTATGTGATCACTCCGTTTACGTTATGACTTTAAGGGATGGTCAAATAATCTTTTCTGGATGAGGCGGCTTGTGGTGGAATTCTCGGAGGAACTTCTTCTGTGCACCCCGGTCCAGGGTATGCAACTACATAAAAACCATCATCGTATACAGTTATAAGGCTAGTTCGTTAGTTACGACAAACTCCATGCACTCCAATATTGTGTCCAAAACGAAACGGAACTTTTATGTTAGCGTGCTAACCGACGAAGAGAGTGCGCTGCGGCTACTTAGGTCGCGCCGACTAACGGTCATTGCAAAAGGAGGCGAAGAACAGTTTGTTGCCTAAACCACCTCCTCTCCCATCAGTAGTTGCGGTACACTCTCACTGTCGGTCGGTGTGATATTTCAAATATTTCTTCCCTTACGAGCACAGTAGTATTCGTTAACTCCCCCTAGCCATTATTTAAAATGGTCGCTCTTCCACTATATTGGCTATCATGAAAATCTCTGTATGCTATAAATTGTGTACCGCCCTTCCAATGGATCATTCACTATCCTTTGGTTGTTTCCCCTGTGTGGCTTTTCTTCATCTACTCTCACTTTCCAAATCCAGATCAGCGCCCCTATACGTGTGAGCAGTGTGATAAACCGTTTTCCGAAAAGAGCAATTTGCAGAGGCATATCCGATCTGTTCATTGGAGTGAGTGTGTGACTAGAAATATTATTTCATTTCCTTACCTTTTGCCATCGGTGAAGTCTTCCATACTGTGCGTGTAACGGTTTCTTGATTTGCGGACACATCAACCGAATAGCACTGTTTCTACGGTTCAATTCCTAATTCGGTTATTTCTGCTTGAGGAGGGCGGACAGGCGTACACAAATGCTGTGACACCGAAGATTCAATAACCATAAATTATTTTTTCTTTATATAGCTTTAGCCATCTTGAATTCCACATCCGGACGTGAAAGAATGTTAACACTGTCAGTCGTAATCTATGGTCTCTCTCCTTGGAAGCTGACCACCGCGCGAATATCCACAGAGCACATAGAAATAATGCACATCTGATTGAATGGGCCGTCAACCAGGATTGACTCGAAGCCACTCTCCTTGATGCACACACACACTTCGTTGGCGTAAATGTTAGGTCATCGAAAGTGCGGTCTTGCACAGGGCAAAACAATGTTGGGGATGCTCTAAGGTAGGAGCTGTCACGAAGACTTCTTCCAGTCTCCCTCTCTTTGAACTGCTGATTTTACAAAACTTTAACCTTTGAGTGGGTTTACTGTATGGAAACGATTATGCACACGGAATCTCCCTCTTTCGTAGTTTATCTTAATCAAGCTTCCGTTTGGCGACCAAATCGCTGACCACACATGTCTCGCAGTCGTTGGCCTTATGCCGCTTTCCGGCTAAGTGTCAAACGACGGGGAATGCGGAGAATTCAAGGGCTCTTTTCAATCGCTTCCAAGTCAGGTAGTCTTCCGTACTTCTTGGAAAGCACTTAATGGCTGTTTTATCCTATCTACACCTTTAAATACTACACATCCCTGGGCTCTATTTGCATCCAAAATTGTTCCTTCTTTCTGTTGTTTTTATTACTACTGTGGGTGTTTAGGTCGTATAGTTCAGCAACCCGCAGTACCAGAAGAACGCTTGAGTCAAGTGAAGTGGCGAGGTTTCTCTATGGATCACACTTTGCTTCACTCCGAATAAAAATTGCTTTAACTGGTGACCCACACTCTAGACGAGATCATGTTCTAATGCCACCATTGCTCCGTAGACATAATTGAGCATGTTCATCGCATCCACCTGTTCTTTAGCAGAGCTGAAGAACAGATGCTCTGGTTTTGGGTAGCTAGTTAAATCCGGTAACATGCGTTTTACCTGTCAACACCCGAATCCGGTGAATTTCACGAGACCAGGGACACGGAGTTGTACATAGTGCTCCAGATCTACTGTGGATCTAATCGCTGGTCGCTCACGATCGAGTACAAGTAGGGTTATTGCAAAATGGACTCGCTCAACTCCAACACGAGAGGAGTCGTCGTCCCCGAACTCGATCGTTACGGGATAACAGATGACATTTTCTTCGATAATAGCCTCTAGTTTGCTACGCTGAATCCCGGACTCTCACATCCATGTGAAATTTCGCAACCACGGACCATCTCTTACCTCGGCAGTGAAACTCTGAGGTAGAAATAGTATTGAGACAGTTCGGTCGTGGAGTGCGTTGTTTAGAACAGGCGGCACCCAACACGATCGTGCTGACCAACTTGACCGATCTTTGCTTCAAAGTGAATCGTAGTTCAGATTGTGATTGTTTGTCGCAATGCATCCAAAAGGAGAGTACCTCCAGCTGATCCTCCAAGCGAATATCTTGTCTTCACGAGTCAGTTTCGCATCCGGTGGGAAACCGCAGTCTCCCTGTCGAAAATAGGTTTGAGTTCAGCTCACTGATTATTTCTCGATGACAAAAGGAATACACACCTGTGTAGTTATCCGTAGGTCACCGTTTCGAATCCGTATCGGTGCAAACGACTTCGCGGTATACACAGCCGTCGCGCGGCGGTATTCACCTGGCAGCGAAGTATCAGTACACATTTAACAATTACGGAGATGGCTGAGGGGACACATGGTAACTTAGTTGGGTGTACTATCTCGGAGTAGGTGTTTTCTCTCTGGCTGGCGTTAGGTAAGTGGATGTTGCTCGGGCGAATCTTATGTCTTTGAAGGTGACGGAACAATAGCGTGCCAAGTGAGAGGAATCGGACTTTGGGCATTCTGATGCATGCGGAAACACAGGTAGTCAGTCCACGATAACAATTGGTGATATTGTACTTGGTAACTTGATGACGAAAGCAGCGGAGAAAGAATGAGTGTCATCCATCTACTTTATCCGAGCAATGAACAAAGCAGCCAGTCGGATGCTTATTGCACAGACAACTGTGTGTATCATCAGTTGCGGATAACAGTCTGCTCCGGGTGGGTGTTCTACTGGACATTGGAATGTTTCAATGCAGTTTCTATCCACTTCATTTTCTCTGGATGAGAGGAACGCGCCAGTATGTGAGACGACTCAGCTGGTGCGTAATATTAGAATAAACTCGTTACCGCATACGGACACCACGAAGTCTATCCCTTACGTTTATCACATTACGAGATAATCGCAGACTAGCACCCCTTATTTCGCATAGCTGATCTTTTATTTTGGTAGCGTTGTTGTGTTAGAGTATCCTAGCTTGTGCATACCCATTATGCTAGATAACGAGCCATTCTTTTGGACAAGTTACGTAGGTCGCACCATGAGACGTTTGTCTGAACGCGTCGACGAGCATTGTGCAGCGTGGTTAAGCTGGGGCTTGAACAAAACGTGCACCACCGCAATAGTCGCGCACTGAAGAATGTCGTTGGCTTATCCAGCGTCACCTTTACCTCAGCAGCTGTTGCAAGCAAATTACAGTCTCTCCGGGAAAACGGTACTCCCAACAAAGCAGTACCACTTGCAACCTTATTCCAGAATCTGCTTGACTACCATACACTCACACCTGAGTGGATAAATGGAATTATTACCGCCATATACAAAGTAGGTAAGCGATCGGTAACTGCCGCGATACTTTGATAATCTACAAATAATGTCTAATGCAGACGCAGACGATCTTGCTGCTTACTCGAGACTTACGGACCAGGGCGACAGTTGAAGAAGTCCCCACGGATATGACTTACTTAAATTTTTCTAAAGCGTTCAGCTGGGTCAATCACCTCGTTCTCTTCTACAAGCTTGCTGCCTACGGTATCAGCTATTTCCTGCTTACCTGATTGGAAGACTACTTACACCAAAGAGCAATCAAGGTAAGAGTAGCCGACACTCCAAAAGCCTGTGTATCTCCAGTGGTGTACCGCCAGTTTTCTTCTTTGGCCCGCTGCTGTTTTTAGTCTACATCAATGACCTTAAAGCAAACATTCTTTCCCTGATGCAAAATTTTGCAGACAATGCCAAAATATGTGTACTTCATTCAGCATCCGACCGTGTCTGTCTTCAGGACGACTTGGCTCGGATTAACGAATGGGCAAGAAGGATGCAGCTTCCACTGAACCCTGCAAAGTGCCACCTGTTGACGGTGCGTAGCAACTTCGTCAACACATCTTTTGGGGCAACACATCCTACAACAAGTGAACACGACCTAGCTATCATCGTGTACGAGTCTTGGCAATTCGCTCCAATCTTCGAAAGCAGCAAGTCTGGCGAATTTGAACTTGTGGCTCTTCTGGCGAGCTCTCGGCACCTTTGAGCGACGGATAGTATGATTGCTGATTAACTCATTTATTCGTCCTTACTTTGAATATACGGTTCAGGCCTGGTGGGCATGGTTAAAACGAGTTATTCACCTTTGGCAGTAGGCCCAAAAAAGAGCCACCAACGCAACGCGTGGACTCTCCGGTCTCAGTTAGGAACTACCTCTTCCTTTACTCAGTGTGTTCTCCTCAGCCTTCGCAATTTGTGAGCGTGTGTTCTCCTCAGATTACCGACAACTTCGCGGAGATATCATTCTCACGTACCTGATACTAACTGAGCGTGAGCACCCATCTGCATCACTGCTGACCCCTGCCTCATACAAACAGTGCCGAGACAGCCACCTGAAACTAATGACACAACACTCCAGTTTTTTATTGTAGGTAGTAATTTTACTCACTTAAAATCGGTTCCCACTGGAATGCACTATAAGCACATGTGGTGAACGCTCCAGACATCACGATATTCGAAAGTCTTTCATCTTCGTGATAAACGCACTACAACAGTTTTGATGAAGTGCAATGGCTACTCATAATTCCCGTTCCACCTTGGAACCTTTTGATTTTAATTTTCTTTTGCATATCCATCCTGTGGCGTCTTGTAAAGTTATGCGTTTTATTCCATCATATACCTTGTTGAACTGTTGAACATAAACCAAACGAGTCATCAGTCGTTGTCACTAAAGCCTTTCGCCCGATCTACTCTGTGATGGGTGTCTATTTCAAGCATATCAGATGTCGAATGCTTGCACCGGCGAGTGCGATCTTCAATCGTCTCAACGATTCCCCACTGTGTGTTAATAGGTAGTTCGCCGAAACTCTGACTTTACCGTGGTCAGCTGTCCTCCAGACAGTTTCCATTTGAGCGAATCACACCTGTTTTGGTATTTTGACACTCTTTCGTATCTTACCTGTGTAAATATGTTGTATTTAGCTTAACAATGGACCACCGAAAACGACCTTCCTTGCTAGACCTTGTTTTTATGACTTAAATGGGAATTATTCTTTTGTAGTTTTTCTGTCCAATACATCTTTATTAAATGGTTTACACTCCAGATCAGCGCCCCCATGCATGTGAATGTTGCGGTAAATCATTTATTGACAAAGGCGACCTACGAAGACACGTCGTATCTGTCCATTCCGGTGAGTACGTGGCTAATACCTTCGTTTACTTTTTCTCTTTCAGTTTACCGCACTCGATGAGATCACACATCTTTGGTAGCATTAACAGTGCACTACGTAACAAAACTACTTTATGATAATTGTTCCTTCTGTCATTTTGTTATGTAGCTCGTCCCTATTTTCATAGCAACTGCTGTGTTGTAATACTTGTGATTCTATTAAGTCGTATACTCAGCGACCGAGACTCAATTCCTAGTACTTCAGGGTCCATTCATTCATTAGTTACCCCAAACAACTAGGCAGTGTTCACTTGCAGAGCTTAATGCTATAGCTCCGGAAACATCAGCTAGCTGTCTCCAGATCCCGCTTCTAAGTCCCTCAATCCGTTTATCTACTATGATACTGTATAGACGAACCCAGCGAAATACAGTGTGATGCACAGTTGTTTTAGAGCCCCGCTTAAATCTCTTCCAGTTGTGAAAGCAGTGTTAATCACCTCTAATGTACGTACATACATGGTGCTGGCATGGCCTCTAGCAACTCGCATGGTAGAGCTACCCGTTAAAGGAATGTTATTAGGTAGAATACGCACTCCATCTACCCTAGCAAGCGATATCGCGCTCGGATGTCCCTCTGGGTTGAACAACCGCTGCATCATTATACAGTGCAAAGTGCTATTGCATGTCTGGGCCGACACACCTCTGGTGCTAGCTATTTGCGAACAGACACTGGAACTGGTGGTTCGGTTCACTTACCTTGGTAGCTGTGTCACCTCTGGTTGTCACATCACTCATAAAGTTACTTCGCGTATCAGCAAGGAACGTGTGGCTTTCCGGATACTCAGCGGTAGATCCACCTGTTTGGTGAAAGATAGTGTATAACCCTACGGTAAGGCCGTTCTTACTGTATGGATCAGAGATCTGGCCAGTTCATAGTGGTGACATTAAACACCTGGCTGCGTTCGACCACCGGTGCTTGCGCAGTATTGCTCACGTCTGGTGGGAAAACCGGGTGAGCAATTCTGAGGTCCGCCATTTAGATTTCGGCAAGAAGCATTATGGTGCCTCTCTTGGGTATTTGCTGAATCTTCATCGCTTACGTTGACTAGGTCATGTCTTCCGTATGCCCGTCGACCGACTTCCTGGGCGTACATTATTCGCCGTAGTTGCACCAAATTGGGAGAAAATGCGAGGTTTCCAGTTCATGACGTGACATCGAGGCATGGAGCATTTGACTGAGAGACTTGGTCACATTAGTGCGTGCCCTCTTCGTGAATGTGGACCTCAGGACAGTCCATACCAATGGTTGGAAACTGTGCCAGACATGGCGCAGTCGTGCTGTCAACGGCGTTCCTGCATTCGGTTTCTTGCATCCGGTTGTTACTTTTCATCCCATTCTGATTAGTTTAACGCATCTCCTTCTTGATTCTCTTTTCTTTCAACATCCTCATCAATACGCTTCAGCTGAGGATGAAAAACACGCCTCCACTGATGTGCCGCAATACTACAAGATAAGATATTAAAAATAACATCACAAATGAATTCAAACAATCAAGTAGTATAATGTTAAGTATCATATTGTAAATTTGCTGTGAGATCGCGATTGGTGGGAGCATCTAAAGGAGAGGGAATTGGACAACGAAACTCACAGCACAGACGCCATTGGGGTCGGCTCTTCGCCATATATCAGCAAATGTGTCTAACCAAACGTGTTCATCGCTCGGAAGCAGGCATGGAACCAAGTACTAGATAGTGGATACCCGCGACCACTGGTGAAACGCCAGTTGCAGTACCTTCTAAACCCACATTCACCTCGTACGACGGTGGGGAATGTTAAATATTGTATTATGAATTTGCCATGAGATCATGATTGGAGGAAGAATCTAAAGAAGAAGGAGATGGACAATGAAACTCAGCACAGACGCCATTGGAGCCGGCTCCTGGCCATGTCAGTGAGTGTACCCAACCAAATGTGCTCTTCGTTCTTCGGACCCCAGCCTGGTAGTCAGGATGCACCAACCGACGCCAAGTTCGAAGGTAGTGTTTTCACTCCTCTTGACCAAGTCATTGTTTGGCCTGCCCTCCTCTTCCAGCCTGGTGCATGAAATAACGCTGCTGAGCGGCTCACGATCTTCCTACACCCAATGCGCTACACCGAACACATTCTTTGCTCACGCGGTGCTCCCACTAGCATGAACTAAGCTGCGAAGGCAGCGATGGTCGAATGTCTCCAGCCTCTTTATGTCTGTCGACCTGATGGGCCAGGTTTCACATCTGCGATGAGGCTGGAGCTTAATATGGTGCGATGATTTGTGTGCGTCAGTGACTCATAGAGTTATCTTGGATGGTGCTTTTGCACCTTCAGAGCGACTCATACCGGATTGGTCAGTGATTGCCCTCCAGGTTGGGGGTTGAAGTGACGGTGACTCCTTACTCCATAAAACGGACTCTGTGTAGCCCAGTACCAAAACCTCGATACGTTGCGGTAAGGTTTTTAAATTAAATGCTTTGGTTGTGAACCCTAATCCTTCTCCTGTCTAAGTTTGGGTAACCTGACATCGTGTCCGCGCAGTACAACCCCATGCAAATCTCTTCACACGGTTTCTGTTTTCCTTACGTTGTATTCTCACGCAAACCCACTGTCCTATTGTTGTGATTGCTCCGATGTGACTCATAGCAACTGGATCCACCGCACTTCGGTGTTCGGATCACAGTTGCTCAACTGAACAGAACGGTTGCGGCTTGTGCTTACGGTGCTCGTTTATGTTTGCCTACTCCGACGACTACACATCAACTTCTAAGTGTAAAGGTCAGCGAGTAGACCAACAAAACTCCATTTGTTCAGGCTTAGTTAGATAATGGGGTTTGCATGATCGCTGTTTATTAGTTGAGCGACCGTCAGTGTGTGCACGGGTTAAGCCACCAGACGAATCAGTAACCAATCGCTTAGTACTTAATGGACATACCAAATGGTCATCCTTGTGGGAGGCTCTGTTAGGTCACGTTCCAATCACCTACTTTATCTTTTGTTCGCTCGCGTCAAACTCGAAAGACGACTCATTTTAATGCATTACAAAGCCTCCGAAAGTGAGGGGGTAAGGGACTGGCAATCGCGAAGGTCATGTGAAGTTCATGTCACATAGCTTCACTAGAAACGGCCCAGTTCAATTAAAATCAAAATGTTTCTAACGAAGTGAAGTGGAACCTAAGTATTTTAATGTATTTGGACAAAAATGACAACTTGAGACGGCCAAGCGCACCGTTCTTAGTAAATCGGAGATGAGTGTGAATCAAAAGGAGAGATTGCAATTGAAGTACATCTCCGTCAAACGTTAGCACGGTGGCTTACTGCGACGGAAGCCTATTTAGGAAAATTGACGCGGCACTCGACTCTTGGGTTACCACAACCCATTTGATTGTCATCGCCGCTCTTTTAGGGAAATATTTCTCACGCTGACTGCAGCAGTTAGTTCAGTCGTTATTTGTTTACCCGAGGTGTTCCGTCCATCTAGAGTGTGCCTGTGTTATGGCAAAAGGTTTAGTATCCTTGGTTCGGCGGACAGGAGACCATTGTCGTTGGAACATGGACACAGAAAGTGGATTTTGTTTGCTATTTTCTGCACTCGGTGCACAGTTGCGCACTACGTGTGGTCATTTGGTTGACTCCAGCAAGTTTTCTTCGCGCACACATTTAAGTGCCGTGGCGCGCCTTTTTCCGCAATGAGCAGTGTTCTGACGTGGGTAAACATTTTTCACTTGAATTAGAACTTCGTCATTCTTCTGATTTCCATTGTTATCTGTCATCCTCACATGTTGGCACTGTTTCGTCGCAACTCGGTCGTCCATTGACCTGCAGTACGTTGCTGAACTTTGCCTGATTGGATGGATCTTCCTATATGTGTGTTGTTATAGTTTGGCATATGCATGACGCCGTTACGCAGTAACGACGCTTGGCTGCCGCGCAACCACCACCAGTTGCACATAGGCTGAGAGTACTGCGAGGGTCGTCTGTTTCCGTCGCAGATTCGAACTTGCATCCTCAGCCTACAAGGCAGGGTGGTGTTTCTTAAGGCTACGACCGGCATTCAAGGAGCATTCAATTACTGGTTGCGTTTTAGGTATCCTCCTTTTTATCGTAGCTTCAGTGTTCTGTGTATTGGCCAGACTTGTGCAATGCAACCGTTGGTGCGCATATTTGTTCCTTTTCGGGTATCAGTTACTCGACCACGTTACCTGAACCAGACTGTGTTTGCAGCAGTTATTTCGTCACTTTACCACAACATCGGTTTTTCCATGTTATACTTATGACTATAAACATCTTGCTTACTGTTTCAGAACAACGAGCTCACACATGTGAACACTGTGGGAAATCATACACCAGAATCGATATTCTCCGAACTCATTTGAAGTCTGTTCATCAAGAGCCTATCCAGGTGAGTTGGTGTAGTGTACCGGACCGCTTGACACCCATTTGACTGTTGTCGCCACTCTCTCAGCGATGTTATCTGTTTGGTGCCTACCTCGTACTTTTCATAGTGTGTTCAACTGAAGTTGTTGCCATGGTGGTTCTCCTCACACGGAAACATTTTGACTACAGCTACTGACCTGCATGTCGTTGCGCGTAGCCACTCGTAGCATCCTTAGTGATTCTGTCTTGATACCCTGTGGTAGACTGTGGTCTGTTTGTATTTGAAATTTAGCCCATTGAGAGATTAACTGGAACTAGTGACACTAACCACGATCTCCGAAGTCCCCTTGCTAGATTAGCTGCCCCGCTCACATTGGGATGGATTCCGGATGGCAATTGCAACCGATTTATTCACTAATCTGACATCCACCGACCAAGCCTCACCGAAATTGTAAGGAGAGCGTCGCACGACAACATTGTATTTTTAGATCTGCGTTAGTCACAGTCCGCTGACGAGTTGCTCCACGGGCAGCTTAACCAAAGCTGGATTGTTTTACGTGGATCCCCACTCATTGGACACACTTTTACTGTGATCTATGTGAAGGATCCAACACGGTGACTTACAGCGGAACAGACTGCAAGTGGCGGTTTCCTGTTTGGAGAACTGACTCCGACTGATATTGTGGCCGCTCAAGATTAAGCATCAGCATCTGCGTCACCTTCGCCCACGATATTGCTGCAGCCACCAAAAATGCATGAGATGAACCGGGATAGTTGAGTTTCAACCGTAACCCATTCGTATTCAGCCGATCCTTTGCTGTTTGTCTTGCGACACTCTTCCTTCACCTACGTGCTAACCAGGTTGGTGTCCACCTATTAGAACTTGCTCGGTAAGCCAGCTCTGTTATTCTCGGTCGTCCTTTAGAAACTTGCATGGACCACATGAGTGTCAATTGGCTGGGTTTTCTCGTAGTTTGAGCCACTGAGTCAGGTTCAGTGTTCAGTAGTACCTCCAACTACCCATTATCGAGGAGATAGCCATAGTCTTCATATTGGGGTACTTTTCAGTTCGATCAGTGACGTTACTAAGCATCTTGTTGTGATCCGCACAAATTCGTCACGACCCCTCTGATTCAATAAGTATGATGGACAATGCGATTCCCTTATAGCTTGTTAGTTACGCTCTTTCGCGGGGAATCCATTAGTTCTCCCGCGCTCACAGTCTGTGTG